AAAATTGCAAAACTATTAAAACCCTGGCACAGCCAGTATGGATTTTGTAATAATATATCAAATAATCAGGTGCAGTATAAAATCATTGTTTTTTTCAGTCCTCAATCTTTTCTGCCTCATTGAAAGTTCACTTCTTTGTCACCAGTTTCGGTGACAAAGAAGTGGTTCTTTCTGTTCCTCTTTTAGTGGAGGACAAGTGGGTGTAGGTTTAAAAAAAAAAAAAACACCTAAATATATATGCTTTTTTCACCTTGATGTTGGCTTCTTTTAATGATGTGAAAGGATTGGGTTTTTTTTTTATAGTGTACATGCCAGTTTGCAGCACTTTGCTTAAACTCTAGTTTAGTTTTAACACTGGGTTATAAACAGTTACAGAAATGAAATTGGATATAAGGGCAAAGTCTGGACAAGAACATTATTGTCACTACAGCGCTCTATATATCTGCTGTAAGTCCCTACAATTGTGGTCAAGTGCATTTTCCAAGCAGATGTTGTGGTCACTGAAATCTGCCTTAATCTGAACCCTCCTTAATCAATGAGAAAGTTAACGATAATCACAGGGCAAGACTGAAAGAGAAAAAAGAGAAAAGGAAAACGAGTGTGAAACCAACTTTCTGAGGAACAGACAGTGGATTATCTGAGAGAAAATGTGGGCTCCAGCCTTCAGATTAGGAAAGTGGGGCAGACTGCCCACTGGCCTCTTTAACAATACTGTTTCTTCCTGCCTTCGTTACATGAAACGTTTGCAGAGGAGCACCCGTGGATAGCTATCTCTGACCAAAATACAAAAGCTCAGGTCTGAACAGTCAGGCTATGATAAGCGACCTCCTTCAGGAAACTGACCAGCCCTGATTATATGTCCAGTGGTCAATTAGACTTGTAACAAATGTGGCAGGAAAAAGCTGCATAAGCAAGTCAAGGTAGGAGGTAGGTCATTGGCTTGGAATTAGGCTTGGAGCTTTCACGTCTCTTTAAGTGCTTTGAAGACTCCCGGGTGTTTTATTAGTATGAGTTCACACTATAGATGCTGTCCATTAAAGGAAAACACCACAAAGAATCGTCTTGATGCATTCTCAATCATCCAGGAAAGTAAATCTCCAAAATGTTGATTCTGTTCATCTGGACGTAGCGTTTCACCATCCCCACTGACACAGCGGCCAGGGAGGCAGAAGAACGGCTCATCAAGAAGGCCCTGAGTAAATGTGGTTATCCCAGATGGACTTTTGTCAAAGCTGGAAAGACACTTAAAGAAAGCTCCAGCCGATCCAGGAGAAAAGGACGACCGCTGCCCAAGCGAAAACCTGTAGTGATCCCATATGTGTCAGGAGTATCGGAGCAGCTGAGACACATTTTTTCTAAACACCGGGTTTCTGTGGCTTTTAAACCCCAAAACACGCTGCACAAAAAATGGTCCACCCCAAGGATCGGGTCCCCCGACACAAATAGAGTAATGTTGTGTACGCTGTTAAGTGCAGGAGGATTGCCAGGATTTATACATCGGGGAAACCAAAC